CCTTTACGCGTTAGTAATTTTATTTTATCCGGATCTGTCACCGTACTGGCAAAAACGGAGTTGACGATTTTGTACTCGTCTAGGTACGATGCGAGTTTTTCTAGGGATGCTGCCATGAATCGCAATGAGTCAATGAATCGAAATTTGACCTCACTCCCCTTGACATGTTTAGTAAAAGAGATGTACTTCTCTTTGTTAATGGGGAGGAGGTCAATTTTTCCTTCAAAGCTCGTAGAAATCGCATGAATTATAAAATGGGCGTCGTAACCACTTAAGTTGTGGAACACCACGGGAATTGTTTGACAGTCTTGGTAGTTTAGATTGCACGATTCATGGGCAGCACCCCTATATTTGCCAGTAAGGTGACAGTGATCGCGGACTTTCTTTTCGCTTGCCGGTATTTTCTGATGACAAATGTGACATATTGTCGCTCGCTTAAAGTCACTGATTTCTTGAGGAGTTAAGGCATTCATTGGTATCGGATTTTTAAATACATTATCAATTTTTTCAGATAATTGCCTTAATTCCTCAGTAAACCATTTAGCAGGATCAGATTCATTTTTCGGACATGGTACATATTTACATAATGTTTCGTCATAACTACATTTTATATAATAGCCGATGCTTAACAATTTGTGGCGCTGGAATACTTCAGTTTTACTTAAATTGTCTACATCTTCATCGGCGGGAAGAAGTAGACTTTCGCAGTCGGCGTAAATTACATACGGTACTTTCTCTTTATTCTTATAATTTTTAAATGTGATCAGACTCTTGTCAGGCGTCGGTAATTTAATTTTACACTCATTCATTTTTTTACAATTTTCGATGTGTGCATTCAATCTATCTACAGATGAAAAGTAGTGTAAACAGCGGTCACAGATATGTTTTTTACATTTCTTTTTAGACAACTGTGTAGACACAAGGCGTGACAGATCTTTAATCCATACATAATGGAAGTTCATAAAATCATCGTTGTCATACAATACAGTATTATCATCATTATTTTCATCCGCATACATGTCGGCAACATACAAGAGATTTACATGCTTATCTCTTTTTTCCGCAGTGAGATGGAGAGGGTGTACCGTAAAGTTACCATAGCTCTTTGATAGACCGTACACATTAATCGAAACATCATTAAGCTTTTCAAATTTCGGGATATTTTTAAGCGTCACTGGGAATTCAATTCCCTCAAAGTTCAATTCATCTTTAAATTCTTTAAAACTAGACACACGTTTAGGATCGGAGACATTTGGGTGTAAGGCTGACAATACCGCCCACTTAAAACATTCATTGTCATTATTTTGCACGTTAATACATGCATGTTTATTTTTTATTTTTATCGGTAAATCAATGTAAGAGCTTGCACGCATTGGATTATATTTATTTACATTTATTTCTAATCTTATGATTGATTGAAGGTTCCAATTTGAACCCTTTGCATAGAACTCTTCGACGCTGTGCAAAATCGGATGTTTGATGTTCTCATCAAACCAATCGTCTAAAAGGGTTGTGGGAAAGATGCTGTTGGCCTTGGTTCCAAAAGGAATAGGCTTAACAACCTCCACATCATTCTCAACCCTCTTAAAATTGGCGATGAGAACACCATACACTACAATAGGTCCATTTTTATTTAAGGCACCTCTAATGTGGTCCTGAAACAGTATGGACGCATCGTTTAAAAACGAGCTTACATCGACGTGTACTAGGTTCAAGACCATATTAGTGTACAGTCTACACGCGAAAGCACTCTCACACTCTGCCCAGCGAACACGTTTCTTAATGTCTGGGTCACCGATTCCAGCGCCATCTATTACGTGGGATTCAAACAATGCGCGAAACCTTATGATGGATTGTAGAATGCTTACACATCTTTGCTTTTGATGTGTAAAGTACATCGATTTAAGAATGCTTGATAACACGTTTTCATGTTGTGAGCATTCTACAACCCATCGTTCGATAAAAGAGCGTCTCTCATTTACGTTACTTAAATAAGGTATCAACTCAAGGGCTTCTTTAATGAGGGTGACAGTGATGTCACTCTCGTCGAGAATAGTACCGTAATTCGGATACTTACGTGGTGGTCCATCGGTGGTCGTCGCCTTCCGCTTCATCTCTGCACCTGAAATCAAAAGAAACACACTTACAAGCTAACACACTTACAAACTAAACAGAACACACTTACAAGCTAACAAAAGAACGAACTTACAAACTAACAAAAGAACACACTTACAAACTAAAATACTTATACTAAACAAAACGAACTTACAAACTAAAGAACTTAACCTAAAAATCAATACAAAGTAAATGCAATAAACACAGAACACAGTAAATATAAATAACAAAAAAAGACGGTAAATATAACAATAAATGTAACAAAAAAGACAGTAAATATAACAAAAAAGACAGTTAGTAGTGGCAATGGGAATCTGCTGCTGCTGCTGTTGGAACCGCTGAACCTGTGAACAGAACAGCTACTGACTAAACTCACCAAAATCCCTGAATATATACCCCGAAATCCCCACTCCTACCTTTCACGCATGCGCACTAGACCATTTACCCCCACTCCAACCTTTCACGCATGCGCACTAAACCATTTACCCCACTCCAACCTATCACGCATCCCACTCTTAAATTTTCCCCACCAATTCGCGCATGCGCAGAATAAATACATAATTTATTAATTAATATTATTATGAATATTAACTATAATACGCCCGGGATAGCGGTAGTGTCGTCTCCACCCTGGGCTCAAGAGAATGCGTCCTGGCCTTGGTCATCTTCACCCTGGGCTCTGGTGATGGAAGTGGCCTTGGTGAAGTCATCGGAAATAGCACCTCGTTACCTTCATTCTGCAACTAATGAATTTATATTATATTAATTATATTATATTTTACTATATTGTATTAAACATATTATATTTTACTCTATTTTATTAATTATATTATATTTTACTATATTTTATTAATTATATTATATTATATTACTTACGTTATACTCCGGCCGTGGTAGCAACAGCAGCTTGTTTCCATGGTGGACTGCTAACTCCACTGCTATGAGCTGAATGAGCTCTCTACCCTAGACCAGCTACCCTCGTAGGGCTCTCTCCCCACCAAGTGGTTCCCCCACTACGCGCGCTCACCACTCTGCTACGTGTGGCGGTTGACTTGAACTACTGTGAGCTCACCGCCGGCAACGAGCTCACCGCCGGTAACGCGCGAAATTCAATTTGAATTTAAAACGCCTATTGTAGTTTTAAGTAATAATTTCACTTACCTTAATTATAAATTGTTTATAATTAATAAAATAATAATAGTAATAATAATAATATTAATAAATAAGAAGTTAATTAAACTTACCTTACTTAAATAAATAAATAGTTTTAAGAATAAATAAATATTAATTATAAACATTTGATTATTTTTTATATACAATACATAAATATTAATTATAAACAATTAGTTATTTTGTATATATAATAAACAAATATTTACAAATAATATTTTATAAATAACAATTAAACTTACCTTCATTAATAAAAATTTAGTGGCGCCATCTAGCGGTTTAACCTTGAACCCTGTCGGTAAAACAGAGCACCCCTTTTAACCCACTTAAAGCTATGAAAATAAAAATTTAAATTTCCCGCCAAGCACATTTGAATTTGCTGGTGGCGCCATCTAGCGGTTTAAGTTTAAATTAACTCGGTCGGTAAAACAGAGAACCCCTTGTAAGCCACTCGAAAGTTTGAAATTAAATTTTTAAATTTCCCGCCAAGCAAGTTTGAATTCGCTAGTGGCGCCATCTAGCAGTGGCAGCAGGAACTACACTCGGTCGGTAAAACAGATTCCTACCTTATCGGTTGAGTCAAGATTTCTGTCAGGTCCCTACCTTACCGACTGATGATAAAGTAGAAATCTACATTACCGACCGTAGGTACTTAGCCGAGATCAGAACCTGCCCCAGAACCCCCCTAGCTATACTACTGTCCCCACTAGGATTTTAGGGAGTTTTTAGATTTTTGGAAAATATTTTTAGGGAGATGGAAAAAGAGGCTGACTAATTATCAGATTGGTAAAAAGTTAAAAGATTTGATTTTGTCGTTTCGGGATTGGGTCTTCGAGACCCATCCCACTTATGTAGGTTGTGTCTTAAAGGGACGTACCCTAGGTCAGTGTCTTTCTAGAATAGTAGGGATATTATTTCACGTTTTTGGATTTTTACAGAATGTTATTATAAATCTACTTAATAATAATTTTACATTAATTTTTATAGTGTAGTTTAATTGTTTATAATTTTTAAATGCATGTAGGTTTTTGAATTTTAATTTTATCGTAATTTTTAACGTAATTGTCGCATTATTTAACTATTTATTTCGATTTTATGATCATTTATTTTTTATAAATTGTTATTAATAATTTGTGAATTATTATTGGTTTATTGTTTATAATTATTCTTTGTCGGTATTTATTTGTTATTAATTATTTTATAAACAATAAATATTTATTTATACGCATTATTAATAATATTAAAATATTATTTATTTATCATTTTTATTTATTGTTTTATTTATTATTCATTTGCAAATTAACGTTGCTATTGTTTGGACACATTTTAGAATGTGTATATGTGTGCACTCTCGACCGTACCCTTAAAAAGGTCGTTCTTTAGACATCTGGTCATAGGTTATATTACAATTTATGGTTTCCTTTACATTTGGAAACACTTTAACTTTTGTTTGGAAAATGTATTTCTTTTTAGCAAGGTTAGAATTGACTGTTAAGAAGACCGAAATTTGAACTGCTCTTTTCACGGTACAATCTGTGAGCGATAAAAATGTTCTGTGAACGAATTTTCTTAGAAAAAAGATAATTTTGAAATGTTTGTCTAGTCTGTTTAATGTTACTCAAGTCTGTTTAATGTTATAGGGCCCATTTTAAGTTATTTGAAAAATAAAAGTGAAAAATATACAGGATGTAACACATTTTATAAATTTTTTTCAGAGAAGTCATTGGTTTTGTAGACAGCATACAAGCTTCGCGAAATATCCCAAACAAACAGGACGAGAATTCACCATTCAGGGTTTTATCGTTTGTTCTCAGTAATAATGAAGGATCAAAATGTACCGTTGCAGTGTGGGCAAAAGAAATCAATAGGATTGAACCCGATTTAAGAGTCAATATGGTATTATTTCATTATTATTATTAATATAAATATTATTAATTAATTATTTATTCATTAAATTAATAATATTATAATAATATTTATAATACCAGTATTTGTTTTTGTTATTTTATTATAAAAATTTTTTATTATATTTTATTATTTTTAAAAGAAATATTTATTGTTAATGTTAATAATTATTATTTTATTATAATAAAAATTGTTATAGATTAAATTATAAATTATTATTACTTTATTATTTTAACAAGCACTTTATTAATATAGATTTTAATAAATTAATTATAAATATTTTTTTAATATAGGTTCTCCACATTGAAGGGGCTGAAGCTAAAAATTTTAAACATGAGCGGTACAATTACGGCACTACGAAATATCAACTCATCATCCATGAACACACAAAAGTAAAAATGATAAGAATAAATAACGTAAAAGAGAATGAAGAAGAAACTGATACATCACCGTTAACAAACTTTGAGAATGTAAAAAATGCAAGTGGTTTAATTAGTAAGTAAGTTATTATTATATTATATTGTATAAAAATAATAATTACTTTTAGTATTATTTTTTATTAATAATTATTATTATGAAAATGACCAAATTTTATAATAAACAAATATATTTTTTTATAATTTAATAATCAATTGTTATTTCAAAGTTTAGTAATTCCTTAAAAATAATTTAATTATTTTTTAAATAATAAAATCTTTGAAAACATACAATTACCATGAATAAAATTTCACGAAAAAATTAAATTTTTTAATTTAATTATTAATTTTTTTAAAACAATTTCATTATTTTGTAAAATTTAAAAAAAATTCTTTGGAACAATTAAACTATTTTTAATTTTAATAAAATTTCATTAAATAATTAATTTTTTTAATCTTCTATATCATTAATCATTTTATTTTGCAATATTTCGAAAAAATTAAATTAATTTCTAAAAAAATTTTAAAAAAATTTCTTTCAAAAAGTCAATTTTCATTTTACTAAACTGTTTCAAGAGAAAACAATTAATTTTATAAAATTATAAATAATAAATTCTTCAAAACAATTTAATTAATTTTTTACAATTAATTAATTAATTAATTATTTACAAAAACTATTATAAAATTTAAATTACAACAATTAATAGTATCTATTCTTCGAAGAAAATTTTAAATATATTTTCTGTATATATATTATTAAAATTCCTTAAATGAATAAAATTATTTTAGAGAATTCTTTAACGGAATTTAATTAGACTCAAGATTTTTGATAAAATCCTTTGCAAGAAATCAATATTTTTTAATACATTAATTTGAAAATGAAAATATTTAAAAAAGTATTATTAAATAAATTAAGAAACAAAAAAATACTTATTATTAATTTTATTTTTTACATTAAGGGAATTTGAACCATTATGACGTCACAAATTTAGATCAAAGGCTTTATAATGGCTTTTATAATGGTTCAAATGCCCTTAATTGATTTACATATTCATTTTTGGTTTTTTTAATATATATATTATCAAGTAACATAAAAAAAATTTATTTTATAATTAAAAAATTTATTTATTTTCAGGAGTTCAGGGTTTTATTAAATCCAGTTGCAAATTGTTAAAATACAAAATTGAGAATGCTATCATCTCCTACGGATGTGGTTGTTTTACAAATGGGGATTTCAAAATGGAAATCCGCATTAAACATTTCAAAAACGATCTGCAATATGAATACCTCGAAAGACATGATCATATTGAAGTCAAGGGAATTATAAAATATACAAGTAATAATAATTAATTTTTTAATTAAAATATAAAAATTAAATTTTTTCTTTAACACCTATTATTTTTTAAACTTCTTTTCAGTTTTATTTCATTATTACTTATTATTAAAAAATATTTTTAAAAAAATTATAAATTTAATAATTTAATTTCATTTTTTTATAAAATAGAAGAGGGGAATTTAATCTACATTTCAGTAGAAGACGAATCATGCATTAAAAAAATTGATGAAGAAAAAATGGATATCAATCAACTTCTGTCAGTTTTTGATATAATGGAATAAGAAGACGTATCAAAATCATGATATATGTTTAATTTTTTTATTTTTAAAAATTGTCATTATTAATACCGTGTGTGGTTTCGAAAAATTCATAAAGAAATGATGAGTGTAATAATTAAGCTTTTGTCAGTTTTAGATATAATCCAAAAAGAAGACGTGTTAAAATATCAAATTTCTTTTATGTTTAATTTTTTTGTTTTTTATTCATTATAAACAATTAAATATTTATATCCAGAAAATGTATTAAAAATAATGAGTATTTTATAATTTAAAAAATTATAAATTAAAATGAATAAAACATTTTATAAACAGAAAAAATATTATATTTATTTTCTTTAATATATTTTTTCTAATAATAATAAATATAAATAATTTTATTAAATATTAAAAAAAATTTTAACCATAATTAGTATTTCAAAATTAAATATTCTTTTTATAAACAATAATATGATAATTAACTTTTATTTATCAAAATTTATCAAAATTATCAACAAATATATTTTTAAAAAATTTGTAAATTAAAATAAATAAAACAATTTATAAACAAATAAATTATATTTTCTGTAATAATTATATTTTTATCAATAAATATAAAATTTTATTATTGAATATTAAAAAGAAAAATTTAAAAATAATCAGTATTTTAAAATTAAAGGGCTATATTAATAATCTTTTTATAAAAAGCAATAATAATTATTATAATATATTTTTATTTATCAAAATTATTAATAAATATATTTGGAAAAAAATTTTTAAATTATCTTTTTAAATAATACTAAATTTAAATAAATAACAATATATTTTACATAATATGCTTTATTGACCGAGGTGACTTCAAATATCATATAATAATAACCTATCGGCAAAAAAAAAAAAAGAAATCCGTTATTGTTCAATGGAAATTCAATTTTAGCACCAACTATTATCAATCAACGAAAATATATGGTGAAAAACTCCTGTGCATTCGATTCAATTGCTTAAATATTAACGACGCTTGCAATTGATAGCCCAGGCTACACGAAACACTTAGAACAATCCTCCAATGAGACCTTGGGTTTCGTTTTAGTATTCCTTGAGCATGGAGCGGTGAATCATGTATATGGTTTACGATGCTGTATACTAAAAGATTTTAAAGATAAATCTGTGGATAAAACCAAGATATGAGCCTCGACATAGTTAACGATCTCACTTGTCAATGAAATAAATCTAACTTAGAAAAATTCCAATGAATTTTACATTCATGAATTTCAAAGTCCAAGTTGAACTTAGAAAATAATTTTTCTATTTTCAAAAGTTGAATGAAAAAGACGTCTTTAAGACATCTAATGGCCAAGACATAGAACATTTATAGAACGTCTTTTAGACGACTTTTGTACAAGTCCAAAAGACTTTCGCAAAAAGACATCCTCACGACGTCTTTTGAACAAGTGTGCTCACTGGGAAAATACCAAACAATGAAAATTGACTACCAATGATCGGAATGAGGTCGAGAGTCGGACAGAAAGAAGAATTTTGAAAAAAGTCAAATTAAAAGCAGCCTGCATGTGTGCCCATGGGAGAACACATCCGCCATTTTCATACGGTCAAAGAAATGAATTACTTTTCTCCCTGTCGTCTGCTACCAGAAAGCGTCATTTTTGTGCATGTGGGATAAAAATAATTGTAATAGCATGTATTGTCAAAAAAATCTTTTAGTGTGTACAATTTCTTTTATTCCTATTATTTGAAAACTCAAGCGTATAATTCCAATCAGCGGAGTTGCCTGAAATATTGAGAGAAATAATGAATAAGAAAAGTTTGAAATTTTATAATAACAAAAAAAGTTTGTTTTATCTTGCAAGTATGGATAAAAATTTGTTTGTTTTTAACATTATTAATTTTGGATTATTATAAAAATTGGGATTAATTAAAAGGCTATTATTATTTTTCAGATTGAGCTGAGTCTTTAATGGAATGGAAAATTTTTGAATATATAATTTTTTGATATTTTTTTTACTGTTTAATTGTCAATTTCTTCTTTTAAATTTGTTTTATTTTTTTTAATTATGCAGTGATTGATTTTATTGCCATACTTTTTTTATATGATTTGATTTTATGTAATTTTTTTTCAAGTTTTAGATATCTTTATGTATTTAGGCGTTTGTATTTTGAATTTCCCGGTAAAGAGATATGGCTGTTCATTAGGCGCATGCGCACAATTTAATAGCATGTCTGTTTTAAGGCCAACGCAGAATAGATCTGTAACCGGAACCGCAATCGTAAGCGTAACCGTAAGAATGAGTTAAAGAAGGATAGGTATATTGTTTATCCTTCTCTAACTCATTCTTACGCTTACGGTTACGATTGCGGTTCCGGTTACAGATCTATTCTGCGTTGGCCTTTACTATCTCTTGTATATTTTCTGCTATTATTTTAATATTTTGTTTTTTTTAAATAAGTCGAAAAAAGTAGCATTTTTTGAAAATAGTCGAAAAAAGTCGAAAAGGTTATAATGTCCGAGGCCTGCAATATCAATTAAAAATTATGTTTCTTACGTTTTACTCATATCATCTATTCATATTGCAGAATACAGTCTACTAACTCCCCAATGAGAAATAAATATTAGTCTACCATTGGTGCATTGATGGCCAAATATTGGGACCCATTGGTTCTCTCTAGGTTTATTATTGGCTCCCAATAATGGACCACTAATGGTAAAATCGTAGGATGTCCACGCCGATGCCAATAATTGGCAACCATTATTGGCTGCCATTAAAAAACCAATAAAAAAAATTTTAATTAAATTTTATAAAATAATAAATTTATTTATTTAATAATTATTTTATTTATTATTATTTATTATTAAGAATATTCATTTTTTTAATTATTTATTTTATAGAAATGCTTATTATTTTCTATCACATTGAAATGTGAATAACCCTATTTCGTTCAGAGTCTTAAAATTATTTACCTCACATCCATCAGTGCAAAAGTAGGAGAGGACGGGCAGAATAAAATTCCACAAATATTCGTGAGAATGCTGCCTAATTATATACTTTTCAAGTTTCATGTTAGTTGCGAGAGAATTTGAAACAACACCTCCTACGGAGCGTTGGGCGAACTACATATAATGATGATAATTTCATGATAATTTCTGCAGCGTCGGTCGGTAAGTATGTAGTTCGCTCAACGCTCCGTAGGAGGTGTTGTTGCAAACTCTCTCGCAACTAACATGAAACTTGAAAAGAATATAAGGAGGCAGCATTCTCACGAATATTTGTGGAATCTTATTCTGCCCGTCTTCTCCTATTTTTGCACTGATGGATGTGAGGTAAATAATTTTTAGACTCTGAACGAAAGGGTTATTCACATTTCAATGTGATAGAAAATAATAACCATTTCTATAAAATAATTAATTTGAAAAAATTAATATTTTTAATAATAAATAATAATAATAAATGAAATCATTATTAAATAAATAAATTTATTATTTAATAAAAGTTAATAAAATTTTTTTTTATTAATGGTTTTTTAATGGCCTAATGGTTTTTTAATTATTCGTCCAATAATGGGCCAATAGTGGTTGCCAATTATTGGCATCGGCGTGGACATCCCACGATTTTACCATTAGTGGTCCATTATTGGGTGCGAATAATATGACAATATTGGAATGGTGGCTCCCATTATTGGGCCATTAATGCGCCAATGGTCTTTTTCCCATTGGGTCATCTCGAGTAGAGTCTTTCAAAAACTGCTTTTCTTGTTCATAAAGTTTTAAAACTGCCACTCCACTTGTAGTTAATTTTAAAACTCTTTCCACAATAACAATAACGTCCTACAATAATTTGATGTGCTGGGAGAAGTGGTTCCGCTGCCAGACACGACTGGCATCATGGAAGGGTGGCCACCAAAACTCGTGAATAAAATTCACGTCTATTTCCCGGTTTTTTCAAGGTTTCTAAGAAATTTTCAAGGTTTTTTTGTTGGTTCAAATTTTACTATAGTAATACTTAAAAAAATAAAGAATACTACTTCTACTACTACTTCTTAAAAAATTCAACTATTTCCACATTTTTAATTATTTTTTATTGCCGAATTTTTTATAGGCTTTTCTTACAATTCTGAACAATCAATCTAATAGATTTTAAAAAATTCTGGGTTGCCACAAATATTTAATTTTATTTTCCCTGACTTTTCCCTGATTTCCAGACAAAATTTTCACTTTTACCCTGACCATAAAGAATATTCTGATTCACTCTAAAAATTATTAGATACTCAAAAAAAAAACATTCTATTACATTTACTTTCGAATTTCTATTGTAAAATTATTCGCAAACATCAATAACTAAATTTTTAAATAAGTATTTAATTATTGGTTTTCCATAGGAATTAAAATTCTTCAAAACATTCAAATTTAAACATTTTTAAAATTCAACAACTTATAAGAATATTATTATAAAACATAAAGATATAAATTACTTATTATTAATTATTCTATAAGAAAGAAATTAATAGTTCTGCAGTTTAGAGAAAAAAATAAAAAATTTTTTTTTTCAATTTTCAAAAAAAAATTTTTTTTTCAATTTTCAAAAAAAAAATTTCTAAATTAAAAATTGCTGAATCAAGCAACTAAAAATGCATTTTTCTATAAAACAACAAAAGAAATACTTTTTTTTTCCAGTTGCCCCTTAACGAAGGGCGGGCGAAGCCCGTCGCACCTACATGCAATTTACTGTTTAATATAGAAAAGATAGTCAAAGTCAACTTTCTAGTTTGTACTAGAAGCTACTTTGAACACAGAATCAATGCCCCTTACAAAAAAATAAGAGTATGAAGCTGGCACTACAACTTCAATGGATTGACTTGACTTTTATGACATAATTTAGTGCTTATTTAGTGCTAATTTATGCTGCAAGAAAAAAATTTTGTGCTGCCTAAAAAGAACTTTTTAAGGTGCCTCTAGAAGAAAGCACAATGGAGGCAGAGGCGAAGCCCGCCGCATGTTGATTCTCCTTTTTTAATACAGAAAGAGAGTCAAATTGACTGCCTAGTTGGTACTAAAAGGTACCAAACCCAGACCAAAGCCCCCTCCAACGTTTAAAAAAAGGCCTTTTTT